TGCAAATCCCTTCGTATTCTTCAAAATAGTTTCGGAGCGATTCTGCAGTTTTTTGCTACATTGCGAGTATATGGGAGGTATTCTAACTGTGGTGAGGGCTTGTCCCGAGACACAGTTAGATTATTCTAACTAGCATGCAGGTAGACTATACTAAGACACATTATTGTCTTTATTGTTTTTTTAATTTTATTTTGATGAATGATGGTAACTATAATTGAAAAATTCTTTAAAATTTTATTAAAAGCTACACCTATAGTTGTAGTCTTATTGCAATATTGCCACAAAAAGTGACTTAATCAAGGGTCATTTTTCTATTTATTGCTGTTTTAAAGTTTCAAGTCCCAACTGCTACTTTTCTTTTCCTGTGTTATAAGTATAAACCAGTAGAGCTACAGTCTCGACAGAGACTTCTGGTCTATGAAAAGACTCAAACTGTTGTCACCTACCATTGTTGCCCTTCCCTTTCAATTAATAAATTTTATTATCAAAAAAAAAAAAATGAATTTCCGAAGTTGAGATACAAGAAAGATGTAGAGCTCAAAACCTTTGTCAAGTAAACAAGGCCTGTGTCATGTTTTTGTTTACATAGGTTAAATATATTAATAATTATATGTCTGATCAAAGCAGATTTTCTCATAAATCATAAAATGTTGTTGCACAAAAAATCAGCATGTATTACCAGTTTTGACCAGATATAAAATGATGAAAATCCTAATATTTTTTAAAGAAAAAATTAAAATAAATTCAGTTTTAACTGGTATTCCCCGGAAACTTTATATAGAGGTGGTGTATAGTATTGTCAGGTATAGCCTTCAATAATTGGATTTTATAAATTATACAGGAAATTAAACATGCAAGTTCAAAACTACGTCCTTGATATCGGGCATCAGTAAGACCATAGGTTTCCAGACAGCTGCCTGAAAAGTTCCAGTTAGCTTCTTTGGTCATTTTGAATGTGACAGAAGCACACTCTTTGTCATTGGCTCAGATAGTCTCAGAAAAAGGAACGTATGACAACTCTGCAGGGATATTGACAGAGGCATAAGTTTGAGTTTTGAGTTGTCTTTCGTTGTACCTACTGTTTTCACTTTCAGCAAAAATGAAGAATTGAAAGGAAAAGGGAAGTAATCCTAAGAAAAACAGATTTATTTTTATGATTAAAAATAAATCCAGCGACGAAACATCAGTTGATCTCAATACGGAGTTGTTTTGCACACTAATAAAAAAAATACGTGAATTAAGATTTGCCTTGGATATAAAAATCTTTGATTACCTATGTTTGCATTCACATGATTCAGAAGTTATTCATTAAAAAACTACTCGTGAAGAGAATTCTATTGCCATGACCTTCAATTCGTCACTTAGATTTATAATTAAGTTTTTTCTCATGGTAATTTTATAACATAAACGTGAAAATTTTGGTTATTAATATATTTTAAAAAAAATGATCGGAAGCCTAGTACCTACATTATGAAGCACCAAGCAATGATAGCACCAGCAATATTTAATGTAAACTCAGAACCAGTTAGCTCTTATTCCTTGAGTAGCACCTACAACCTGAACACAAGGAACCTATTAGCTCAAATACCATCGGCAGCACCTTCTAAAACATTCAAAGAGTTATCACGGAGAAAAGAAATACATGTAGAAATGGAAATATTTAAAAATAACTCACGGTGTCGTACAATTTATTCTTTGCTTTTGAGCACTAAATCGACAACAGATTTTAGTTGCATAATTTCTTTAATCAGTAATAATTTATGAAAAAAAAATTAAAAGAAAGAAATACTAGTAAAATTACGAAACAGGATTTGCACTTAAATTTGTCTTTCCCTCTGTTGGCCAATAAGCCCATCTATGCATGATGGAAACTAACAAAGAGCTAGTTTCACTAACTCCATAAAATCGCCCCATCTCTATGTTAATTAACTTACAAAGTCCAAATGTTCCATGTTAAACATCAATATACATTAGGGACTTAGTGCTTATGAAAAAAAAGTATCCCTTGAGAGTTCAGGATTTGCAAAATAGGCTTATTCTTGAATTTTGAAGAAAAAAAAGAATGAATTTGAGCATCTTCATCTTCATCTAAATTTAATATCGGAATAAATTTGTTTGTCTTTTTGAAATGGGATTCCTACAAATAAGACGAAAATCTTGCAAGCATATTCAGTACGTCTTGCATATACATGTACATACAATGTAAGATTATCATTTGACTTTTACATATAAAATTAAACAGAAAAAATGCACAGAACAGCAAATATGCCAAGTTCGCCAAATTTCTTGTGAAATCCAAAATCAACCCTGGTATGCTTCATCTGTAAACATATATATTGAAAGTGCAAGGGCTCTATTTCTACAAGAAATAAAAGTACATCACAATGAAACACAACCAGATGATGTTATTTTAAGTAATCAAGAAAAACTGTTTGAACACGAATTAAGTTTGTTAGAGCTTGTCTTCAGTTGTCGACACCTGTTGTTTAGTCCGTCCTAA